TAATAAGAGCGTAGCTGTAGGAAGCCGAGGGCGCCCGAGCGAAGCTCTTAAATGGTTACACATGGTTACACATGCGTGCGTAAACAGAGTTGCTTCCCCTTTCTACACACTGCCTTTAATTTTTTTTCGTCCGGAAGTAGACGTCCAGTGGGGAAACCGGAAGCAAAGACAACTGTGTTTCATCCCATACGTGAACATCTTCATATAGTGAAAACAATACCCATGTTTTATTACTTGTTTATTTAGATACAAACAAATATACATTCTGAGTGAAAAAAAAAACTGTCACAGAGGTTTTGATACAAGCAGGCATGAAACGTCGTTCAGAGATTATCATACTGTGACGTCACAAGCACGTCACACTCCATCGGCTTCATTGGTTATTTCCGAAAGGATGAAAAATAACCGGAAAATCTTAGAACTGATGGCCGTTGCATTTATCTCTTTGTCTGTGCTTCATGCCTTTTTAATTTCAGTTTGTGCCACAGGCACAAAAAGGAAAAACGCGGATGTTTTTCTGAAGATCCTTTGTGTCATCAACCAGGATCTGTTAATATTTCTACCGGGAGATTTTTTTTCAAAAAGAGCCGCATTAAACCAATAGGTAAACGTGTACAATTATGTTTCATCGTCTAAAATTTCATCAGCTTTTGATTTCCATTTGTTGAGAATATGAACGAAATAATTAAAATGTTTGAAAGTCTGGTTATAGTCTTTACATAGTGTATGTATGCATCACCACTCATAAAAGAAACAATGGATAATTAATTGATTTCGAAATCAACCATAATTGTCCAGACAACGAATCCGAGTTCAACGCCCTTTTTCAGCAACGTATTACTTTTTCACAACGCATGCCGATGTATAACTAGTTACAGACAGAAACTGTTTTATTCAATTTCACATCATTACCTTTTAAACCTCAGTGACAGTTACAAAATTTGAAATTCAATCCGGTGTTTCAGGATGGAACAGGAGTTCTAAATATCGATATAACGACAATCTCAGTTACATTAAAGTATTTCAATGTTTTCTTTTTTTTCATTCCATTTTTTTTTTACTAACATCTCTATACATTTTATTTTATAGACTTATCGTCAAATATGTAATATGCACTTTTTTCTATAGCAATTACATGTTTTTTCCCACCGTATTTCAATCATTCTATTAGTGACCTGACGGAAGCACGCAGAGGATTTAATTCTTAATTTGGGAGGAAGCCGGAGTATCCGGAGAAAACCCGCGTGGTCGGGCAGGTAACCGGGAATATTTACATTTGCATGGCATTGTCACTATATAGCCTCTTTGGAAGCTGTGTCGTTAATTGGACTTTAATTACCATGCATCACGAGACACAATTCTTAGCGTATTAATACAACACTGACCGGAACAACAATATCCAATATAAATAAACATGAAGGCTGCTGAAATATCACTGAGCATTGTGAGATTTGACAATGCCATTGTAAATTTATGTGCAAAATAAAATTAAGAAACACTTTTATTACAACGAAAACAAGACCATTGTCTGCAATATCGTACAAAATGCACATCGGTTAATATCACCAATGCCGGCAATGGAAATAATTTTAACGCTCATGCAATTTATCAGAAATATCGTCTGTTACACTGCACTGATATCGACAGGGTTCGTTACAAATGTCTGAAATACACATATTATATAGACCTACTGACACATATGTTACAGACCTAATGATATGAGTCACAGCACACATAAACATTTCAGACATTTGTAACGCACCTGTGCTCCGTCGTAAGATCACTCACTTCAAACGCTATCTTTCACGCGTCTTGCATCCACCATTCCTCAGTTTCTGACGACATGTCAAATAACGAGGATGTTATATAATCTACCGACTGTTGTCAGGTTCCCATACAATCAACAAATGCATTAACGAATGGATTCTTCAAAAAATGAGCAAAGAGAAAAGTTCGAATTAACTTCCAAAAATAACTCGTGGAGGGCAAGGATGGGTTTACGGTGTTCACTGTATTTGTCCATGCGCGAAATTTGTTCCGGGGAAAAATCGAAACAATTTCAAATATTACTTTCAGCTCAGAGTTCTATTGATAAACTTAAATCACCCTATAGACATATCATACGCAATTATATTGATACTGAATTATGGAATAAAATTGAAGTGTTTGTTAAAATTTCAAAGTACTACTTTGTTTGCCAATCAGCACGCGACAATACGCTGTTCAAACTATTGAACGAAATTGTGTGGACTGTCGATAAGGCGGGCATTTTTAATTTGAAATATAAATTAAAAGTTAAAAAAGAACATAAGAGGCAGAGGCAATATAAGTATTGAACTGTTTTTGTATGGTATGGCTAGCGCGCATTATGTTGTTTGCTTGCAAAGCTGTGTCATTCAAATAGATCATAAATACCATACACAAACAGTTCAATGCTTAATTGAATCCGGTCGTCTTGGTGAAGACGAGCGCGCTATCCACTGCGCCAACCGACCCATCATATACGTTACGCACAAGAACAAATATCTACTTTAGCTTTGAAAATGGCGTCATTGATGCAAAAAATATATTGTGACTACATTTTTACCAATCATCAACGAACGATACAAAAAATCTACAAACGGGAGACCGGGGCAAGTTCGGCCACCCTTGATATTTTTGTTTTTGAGCTAATATTTACATCTTTAAAGATCCAAAAAATCTTAGCAGTTTAGTTGCCTGGGCATTCACATGAAAATATGGCGAGGAAAACTCTAATGTAAAATTACTAAACAGGAGGAAATTACTTTTGAGAGGGTTGAAAGAAAATCATGATCTCACTTCTAGTTATGCGAACTTTCTGTAAACGGAATTGCTATTTGTTTACTTTTGCTTCAAATGATATACATAAAAGCAAAGCCAAGCACTCACTATCATATTGCTGTACGATAAGAATTTATTGAAATATCAATTTGGGCATGGACAGTTTCGGCAAATGATACCGTGGCAAGTTCGGCCATTGTAACACATAAAAAGTCGTAAAATTGGCGGTAAAATCTGACATTGCATGATTTATAACGTCATAATTAAGCTGATTTCAATGGGGCCGAACATACCCGAATGTCTGTCCGAACTTATCACATTGCGGGCCTTGTTCGGCCATTCGATCATCCGACATGGAAAATTAAATAATGTTCAAAAACGGACGTGCTGCCATACTTCCCAGAACGGACTTTAATAAAAATGGGCCGAATTTGCCACGATCTCCCCTATTGTTATGTCGGTCTTAATCTCATAAGAGTTTATGTTTTATTGTTATCCCTCGACTAGCCGACTTTAAATAAATTATATCTTGCCTCATTCTGAAAGCAGTTTTATCTCATTCTGAATCAGTAAATATCAGAGATTAACAAAAGCTTCGCTCTTTTAAGGCTTTGCCTTTTCATATTACAAAACTGATGCAAAGACCTGGGCATTATAAGAATAAAAAACTTCCACACTTTAGAAAAAAAAACGATTTTATCAAGTTATTTTTACATTACCATTGCTCGTGTAACATAGAAAAAGTTGTTTTCTGTAACAGGTATTGACGATACTAACACCTCTATATATTCTGGGAAACCTCTAAATTTTTCAACTTGGTAAATGAATTCAAGTTGCGCTCTAAAGATTTTCACCTAATTTCGTTACTTTAAAAAAAAAACTATCACGGTGACGTTCTTCTTGCGAAAACGTTTCTCATATTCAGGTACACAATAAAAAAAAGTGTATATGTTGTGAAACATTCTTCCGGATGGTTACGATCAACAATATTTTACCTAAATTCTATTCGATCCGTAAAATTTACTCGAAACTAATATCGCCGATTGCAACCTGCTACTGTACCAAATAATGGAAACAACATATCATGCAACTTTTACCTTCACATTAAACATGTTCAATCTTAAGAGGCGTGCATTGCGTTTGCAAAATAAAGTAGATGTGAAAACATCGTCTATTTAAAGAATTTACTGAATGTGATCTACCCCTGATCGCCAAGACAAAACAAAACGATGTTTATTTTGTTGAGAAGAGTTTAACTGTCTTATTATAATGTGAAAAATATACATTGCTTCATTTGTTTATTTACTTATCGATATATTTCAATGAACGCCTAAGTAAAATCTTTCAGTTTTCACCACAACTTGATTTTAACCCTTTCACCACTGTAGACCATAATGGACTCAGCCATATACGACCCGGGAAGGTGGATTGATGATTTAATCTAGTACTTTCCGAACCGCACCATCATCAAATGTGCTTGAGCTATGTGGCAAGATTGATGACGACGAGAAAGTGACGTTTTCAGAATATTGACATGCGTCGACTGTCTTTTTTGATGTAGGTAACTAACACAGTACATATTCCCCAACTGCTAGGAATGATAGAACAAATGGCCAACCTCGGGGTAGTATGATTTAATGTCTAGCCATAGGTTTTGCACAGAGCCAGACAGTTAAGAACATTACTCCGAGGGTGAAGATTTTTCTGTCTCACTTCCATAGTTGGAAGGTGTTATTTTTTTATCACACAAACGTTGAGTATCTGGTTTTCCAGAAAATCCAAAGGAGGAAAGTGTAATATGGAAATGTGTAGAATTCCCCTTAACAATGCCCCAGCTGGCAATACATCGGTGTGTATGATGTGATAATATTAAAGCTTTTTGGCTGTTATCTTGAAGTTTCGTTAGATGAGATTATGTCGGTTAGTGCTTTAGTCACTCTTATTTTCGATTAGTACTGATGGAAACAAGCCTTCATTTTAAATATTTGGTTCGGTTTGAAATCCAACTAAATCAGATATGTTTTATAAAATAATAGGAAAAAAAACACCTTCTTATAACTTATGTTAAGACAATACATATGTATTTAAACATATCATTATTCGGTTTATATATCTTAGATGGTTAAAATCAGTACATGTTACGTCACTTCTGGCTAAAAAAGTATAAACGAACGGGAATACAAAATTCACAAAAAGCGTTTCGTTTTACTTATTCTTTATTGCCTGATAATAAACATCCGAAAACGTCCGCAGTCTGTCTAACACAACGTCATACAAACGATAAAACAGAAAGTAAAGACAGAAATAAACAGCTATTCGGAATGTATTCTTTCGAGTTACGGCAATTTTATAAGTTTTGAGTTTTCTCCTTTTATCCAATCACTCCAGTAGATACCGAATCATCTCTGAAATATACAAAACGCATAAAGCAAACTTACAATAAACTATTTAATCAGTATCACATATCAAGAAATTATAGTTTATGTACTATCGTATTTTGTTTTAAAAAGATATAACTTACATTCTTTGACAGATGTAGAATTCTTTCCATTCACATTCCCCGTCCGCCCACCTCCCTGCACCGTACCAGTTATTAAGCAGACAATCCTCTCCTTGGTTACCGTTGTTAGGATCTGGAGCATGCCAGTGGGTATACACCATGGGTTCCAATGTAGACATCCATTTCCAATAGCCTTCCTGCATGATGTCACTTCCGCCCAACCAGTACTTTCGTTCTGAATAATTTAAAGCACATCTTATTTTATTTATACACAATACACTCAATAATTTTACAAGTATTTAAGAATGCACTGTATAGCATCACAATGTCAACAACGAAAACCACAAATTATGATTATTATTGAATAATTATTATACTTTAAAGATTGTGAGGGGCAAGTTGGTTTTATCAACAAAAGCTCATTATATTTAGACTACATTGTTTAAATATTTGTCAAAGTCTCGAATTAATATATCAAAATTTTACCAAAATACGTACGGTTCTTAACAGCCTGGCTACCAATAAATGTATCCATTTCAGCTGTTTGTGGCTCTGCTAATTTACTGTCGAAAAGCTGGCAAATACTCTAAAAAATATAGGAATAACAAAAAATCACTAGACCTGCGATCCGACTCAAATTTTAAATAACTATGGCAAATAATGAACAAACAAATAGTTTATATGGAGACTGTCGAAAGAGAACAATGATAATTAGACCAGGCCCGGTTGCTCAAACGTTGGTTAACACATTCAGCCATTTGAACTTCTCACTTTTAAAGGTTTGAATAGTTTATCATGAATTTCCAAAGGTGAATCAGTTTACTTCAAATAGCAGTAAGCAAAACAATTATAACTTGCCAATAACAAAAAAAAAAGTTCAAAGCAAAAATACATCTTCAAAAAACATTTATCTGATCTGTGAAAACAAATATCTACAGCAGTGAAAGGGTGTAAGATGTTCTAAATTCAAATAGATAAACCCCCTATCACTGCTTAACTCAAACAACCTCTAAGCAACGGGGACCAGATGTTTCGGACGTGTTACCATCTTCTATTTTATCGTCGACACACGAGTGATAAGTCTAGGTTAAACGAACGTAAGGCTATGTCCTCATATCGAAAACCAGGACAAACTGCGTCGTTATCTTGGACAGGTGGTGGCTATATACTGTAAATTTGACAATGTGCTTCTAAATGCAATCCAATTAAACTGACATTGTGCTTCACTGCATACATTGAAGCAGATACTACACTGGATATCTAAGATGCTGCTAAAGCCTGAATTCGGCAAGTCGCAATAAAGTTTTGGCAAAAAGAGAAAAAAAAACATGAAAATTCCACCGGATGCCAATTTTAAGTAACATGTCATGTCTATAATTTGATTAATTGTATCTTTTATATAGATATTAAGTATTTGTATAATAAAAATCATATACAAAATTTGATATAGCGCCCTGTCTAGCTATAATAAGCTACGCTAAAGCGCTTTACAGTACATAGATATACAATTTATACAATCAATACAATTAGCATATACATTAATCAATACATTTTATTAGGAATTCGCATAAGCTATCTTATCATGCACTAACTATTAGTCTAATACTCTCTGGCTAAAATATCACCCTGTGTGTTTGCCCGTGTTGGCATGCATTACATGTAATATTTAGCGATTATCATATGACCATTTTGATAGCATACCCCATATCAGCCCAAGAGTCCTGATATCAGCCAGAGGGCCGAAGGCCCGAGGGCTGATACTAGGACTTGAGTGCTGATTGGGGGTGTGATATCAAAATGGTCATATCATAAACTTTTTATCATATGTTTTTTTTACCTTAAAAAAAAAAACTTACACAAACAAATATTTCTTTATTTTATTTATATGCATAAAAATGGTAACAAAAACAATGATGTATATAAACAAAACAGTAACAATTATACGTAAAAAGTCAATATTTAGAAATACCCAAATTCCTACAAAATGATATGGTTTTTAAAATTTGGGGCTTTGTAAAACATATATTTTTTTCCCTTATGAAACCGCAGTTATTCCATGCCAACAATTCGTTTGTTTACATTAAAAGTAGACAGCATTAAGCGGAAGCGGCAAAATCCGGAAATCTGGGAGGGGGGTGTGATATCACGTTTTTAGGGGGTGTGATATCCCCCGGGCTGATATCAACTTATGGAAAATTTAGACTTATTACACATACAAAAACGGTGTTATTATTAGTAATCATATGATAAATATATATATCAAACGTGGTTTACGATAGTTATCAAACATATCTCCTATCATAAATAGGGGTGAGTATTACCTCAGCCTCACTCCACGTGACCTGGTTATGACTAAACATGAAACAATAATCCCCGTCTTTTTTCCATCCGCCCAAACAAGCACGTGTGCATCCTGAAACATTTCAATCATTATTATTACTTATGATAAGGGAAATATTACCAGGACGAATACGCTGGTAGGTTCCTTTCTGCAATGCACTTCAGTGAGGTAACACGGTTAAGTTGGCATCAGATTTGCACTTACACAAGGAGACACATACAACGATATCCACCCAACCACATAAAAAAAATCATTAACACACAAAAACAAAACCAGCAGACATTTCCATACTGTTGCACTTGGAGAATAGCCACATAACAGTGCCTCTCCTCTGACTGCAATGTTCTAACATAATCCGTGGAAAGCAACAATATTGTATATTTTGTATTTCAACATTCGTTAAAGAACAATTAAAACACGATAACGTTTTTATCATTATGATTATTATCCTATGTTTATCACGTCGTTGCCCTCATGTTTGTCTGTTAAATTCGAACATTGAAAAATGTGTTCGCCGTGGAAAGCAAGTCACCGTCCTATATTGTTAAATGTTGAGGGGCTAAAGAATCAAAGAGTAGACATGATATTGCTTATCAGATAAGTTGAGAATGCAGGAAGGACTGATAAAATATTTTTCCTGCCAGGGTATGTCAGATGTGAGACAATGATAACAACATTTCAGATATAACGGGTGAGGAACATGGCGGACAATGAGAGTTTGCCTCCGTGTTACGGCAGTAACCAGGAAAGTGTCAAAGAGAAGACTGATTCTTATTTCCAAACTGTTATATCATTTCGGTCTTACAAGATATATAGTATGGTACATTGTACATGTATATTACATACAAATATTTCTATGGTTTCGTGAAGGAATAGACACCTTCGTGTCGGACAAGTCATTGGGAGAGACAAATGTGACTTTCGTAATATTTGTTTAGTGTGTGGTCACGCATGTATTGCTACTCGTTTTCGATGTGTAGCGTCATGACCATTTATGAAACGTACTTGGACTACATGGTCACCGCAATTATTAGGATTAGTACATGTCCATATTTTCAATTGCTAAACGTAGCTTGAGATGTTGTCCATCTGAACCTTTTTATTGCATAAAGTATGTTTACAGATTTAGACAGTGGATATGTTATACCTCTACATGCTTTAACGCATTGGCAGCTTTAAATGTTTGAGGAATTTCATTTTACGATAACTGTATGGTTATTACTGATGCGATATATATGCCGAAATATGGTGCTTGATATATGTTCGCGTTTATATAACAAGTTTCAAAATAGAACAAAGCCTCTTGAGGAGCGGATGTGACATAATATTTCACTGTGCTATTTATAAAATGACACAAGAACGCATTTTACACCTAACACGAAGACAATCTTCTATTTTTATATTCGTTTTCGGTAGTTTTGTAAGGGATAATCTAAATTATATGTAGAAACACTATTCTGTTCCCTGGTCGGGGTTCATTTTACTGCGTTAAAGAGCACTATTACAGTAATTCCCACTTTAATAATATCCTTCGGATATAGCTGTAAAAACATTTTGGCCAGGAGACTTCCGTTGTTAAAGGCATGTGACTTAATTGGTTAGAGTGATAATGTAACATCTGAAGTCAGAGGGTTGGAATCTCTATCTAGCCTGCTGACTATAACGGAAGTGATATTCGGAGCATATCCGAATAGAATAATTTAAATACAGTTGTAGGGGACACGGTAATGGTATTATCAAAAAGGAAAAGTTCATGACAGGAAGGTCAAAATCGTCCCATTTGAAAAGGCTAGAAAAGGAGCGAAAATATAAAAATCTCCAATATTGCGATGCAATAAGAAGATTATAATAGACAATATGTGTGGTATTTTCTGTGTATCTATATAGAGGGCACAATGGCAAATCCCAAATTCTGCATGGCTTTTCAATATTAGTTGCTCTTTTAAGTGGATAATAACAGTTATGGTCTCTTCTTACAGGCCAATATGGACACAAACATAGAATGTGTTCAGCTTTCATTAACAGTATTTATGTAATACAATATGTGTTCCTCCTTTCTGTGTGTACATTTACTAGTTTTGTCCTTTATTAATACGAAATATGAATTATTAACCAATCGGAACGACATTCACTTGATCTTAGTACAACGCTTACATTCTTTCCGATTTGATAAGTCAACACGCCTACGTTATACATTCACTTGACCATGACAACACTAGGCAATAACGTGGTTAAATTATCACCTGATACATTTAAAAATCTATGTGTTCTTCCCGTCTCAACCCTGACCACACGAACAAGTCATACTTACCGCACAGAAGCAGAACGCAAAGCAATTTCATTATGTACGCCATTGCAAACTGTAGTTAATGAGATGACCTTGATGTGTAACCTTGATTCTTATCAGTAGATAACGTCCAGGTGACTGTACGTAAGGTTAATCATGTCTAAGTACATACTTGAAAGACAGTGTTTGGTAGTGCTCATGGTTGTCCTCTTATATTTTGTCTGACCTGTTTGTTATAGTCAGTGGTTGTCTATTACTGGTGTATCTGACCTGTTTGGTAGTGATCGTGGTTGTCCCGTTTTGTTGTGTCTCACCTGTTCGGTAGTGTTCATGGTTGTCCTCTTATGTTTTGTCTGACCTGTTCGTTATAGTCAGTGGTTGTCTAATTTTTGTTGTATCTGACCTGTTTTGTAGTGTCCGTGGGTTGTCCTCTTATAATAATAATAATATACAACATTTATATAGCGCACTATATAATTTGTAAAATTACTCTAAAGCGCTTTACAACATATGGATAATAGTAATGGTTATCATTGTGAAAACGAAAAAAATAACAAAGGCTTTTATACATTTAAGGAAGCAAGGTGCACATAAATGAACAAATAAAAGGGTGGTATTTACATAACGTCTTTGCGAAGATTCTAAAATGCAGACGTGAAGAGGTGAGTTTTGATGTCCCTCTTGAACTTTGCCAAGGTATTGGACATTCTAATTGCAGATGGTAAGCTATTCCACAACGTAGCCGAAACCCTTCCAAAGCATCTGTTTCCGTAGGTCACAGTACGAGATTTTGGGACAAACAACAAAGATTCTGACTCCGACCGCAGTGATCGTGACGGCTGATACAGGGTAACAAGCTCCTGTATGTACTGAGGAGCTGTTCCATTCAATGCCTTGTATGTGTACACCAGAATTTTGTACAGGTAACAAGTGCATCGAATAGAGCACAGGTGTGATGTGCTCTCTCTTTCGAGTACGAGTAACTAGCCGTGCTGCAGTGTTCTGGACCCTCTACAGACGACTAGTTAGTTTGTCAGATATACCACAGAGCAGGGCGTTACCATAATCCAACCGAGAGGTAACAAGTGAATGCACCAAAACCTTGCATGCATCTGCTGATAAAAACTGCCGAATACAGCCAATGTTCCTGATCTGGTAGTAACAGGATTTGGCAATAGCGTTCACTTGTTTCTCCATGTTCAGTGAACTATCAAAGTATACCCCTAGGTTTTTAACAGCTGGAACAGTCTCAATAGTTCTGGCACCGACCTTGAGCTGGATAGCCATTGTTTGCTGACACTTTGAGGAAAAAACGATTAGTTCCGTCTTTTCCTGATTAAGCTTAAGCATGTTGGCGTTCATCCAGATACTGATATCTGTCAGACAAGCTTCCAGACATTCTGAGACGGTATTCCAACTGTCCTGTGGTTTGATGACCATGTAAATTTGTGTGACATCGGCATAGCAATGATAGCGAAGGCTATGGCGACGACAAATCTCTCCAATCGGTTTGGAGTACATACAATATTTTCGTGGTCCTAACACCGACCCTTGAGGAACCCCGAAATCAAGTACTTTGTCATGTGAGGTGAAAAATCCGATGTCAACACACTGTCGTCGTTCACTCAGGTAAGACTGTATCCGGCATAGTGCGGTATCAGTCACTCCATAAGAGTATTCCAGACGTATAAAAGTATGCCATGGTCGATGACGTCAAATATTATGTTGTGTCTGACCTGTTCGGTAGTGTTCATGGTTGTCCTCTTATGTTTTGTCTGACCTGTTCGTTATAGTCAGTGGTTGTCTATTATTGTTGTATCTGACCTGTTTGATAGTGTCCGTGGATGTCTGGTTTTGTTGTGTCTGACCTGTTTGGTAGTGTTCGTGGTTATCCTGGACTGTTGTATCTTACCTGTTTGGTAGTGTTCGCGGTTGTCCTTTTTTTGTTCTATCTGACCTGTTTGGTAGTGTTCATGGTTGTCTATTTTGTGTTGTATCTAACCGGTTTGGTAGTGTCCGTGGTTGTCCTGTTATGTTCTGTCTGACCTGTTTGATAGTGTTCGTGGTTGTGCTTTTTTATTGTGTCTGACTTGTTCGTTATTATCAGTGTTTTTTTTTTTTTTTGTATCTGACCTATTCGGTAGTGTACGTGGTTGTACTTTTATGATATGTCTGACCTGTTCGTTATAGTCAGTGGTTGTCTATTTTGTGTTGTATCTGACCTGTTCGGTAGTGTTCGTGGTTGTCCTTTTTTGCTGTGTCTGACCTGTTTGGTAGTGTTCGTGGTTGTCCTTTTATGTTTTGTCTCTACTGTTCGTTACAGTCAGTGGTTGTCTTTTTTTTTGTTGTGTCTGACCTATTCGGTAGTGTACGTGGTTGTACTTTTATGATGTGTCTGACCTGTTTGTTATAGTCAGTGGTTGTCTATTTTGTGTTGTATCTAACCTGTTTGGTAGTGCTCGTGGTTGTCCTTTTGTGTTTTATCTGACCTGTTTGATAGTGTACGCGGTTGTACTTTTATGTTGTGTCTCTACTGTTCGTTATAGTCATTGGTTGTCTATTAATGTTGGATCTGTCCTGTTTTGTTGTGTCTGACCTGTTTGGTAGTTTCCGTGGTTGTCCTGTTTTGTTCTGTCTGACCTGTTCGGTAGTGTTCGTGGTTGTCCGGTTTTGTTGTGTCAGACCTGTTTGGTAGTGTTCGTGGTTGTCCTGTTTTGTTCTGTCTGACCTGTTTGGTAGTGTTCGTGGTTGTCCAGTTTTGTTCTGTCTGACCTGTTCGATAGTGTTCGTGGTTGTCCTGTTTTGTTGTGTCTGACCTGTTCGGTAGTGTTCGTGGTTGTCCTGTTTTGTTTTATCAGACCTGTTTGGTAGTGTCCGTGGTTGTCCTGTTTTGTTGTATCTCACCTGTTTGGTATTGTTCGCGATTGTCCTGTTTTGTTCTGTCTGACCTGTTTGATAGTGTTCGTGGTTGTCCTTTTTTTGTTGTGTCTGACCAGTTTGGTAGTGTTCGTGGTCGTCCTTTTATGTTGTATCTGACCTGTTTGGTAGTGTTCGTGGTTGTCTATTTTTTGTTGCATCTGACCTGTTTGGTACAGTGTTAGTGGTTGTCCTTTTTTGTTGTGTCTGACCTGTTTGGTAGTGTTCGTGGTTGTCCTTTTATGTTGTGTATCTACTGTTCGTAATAGTCAGTGGTTGTCTATTTTGTGTTGTATCTGACCTGTTCGGTAGTGTTCGTGGTTGTCTTTTTTTTTGTTGCATCTGACCTGTTTGGTAGTGTTCGTGGTTGTCTTTTTTTGTTGTGTCTGACCTGTTTGGTAGTGTTCGTGGTTGTCCTTTTATGCTGTGTCTCTACTGTTCGTAATTGTCAGTGGTTTACTTTTTTTATTGTATCTGACCTGTTTGGTAGTGTTCTTGTTTGTCCTTTTTTGTTATATCTGACCTGTTTGGTAGTGTTCGTGGTTGTCCTTTTATTTTGTGTCTGACCTTTTTTGTTACAGTCAGTGGTTGTCTATTTTGTGTTGTAGCTGACCTGTTTTGTAGTGTTCGTGGTTGTCCTTTTGTGTTGTATCTGTCCTGTTCGGTAGTGTACGTGGTTGTCCTTTTATGTTGTGTCCCTACTGTTCGTTACAGTCAGTGGTTGTCTATTTTTTGTTGAGTCTGATCTGTTTGGTAGTGTTCGTGGTTGTCCTGTTTTGTTGTATCTGACCTGTTTGGTAGCGTTTATGGTTGTCCTGTTTTGTTGTGTCTTACCTGTTCGTTATAGTCATTGGTTGTATATTTTTTGTTGTATCTGACCTATTCGGTAGTGTACGTGGTTCTACTTTGATGATGTGTCTGACCTGTTCGTTATAGTCAGTGGATGTCTATTTGTTGTTGTATCTGACCTGTTCGGTAGTGTTCGTGGTTGTCCTTTTATGTTGTGTCTGACCTGTTCGTTAAAGTCAGTGGTTGTCTTTTTTTTGTTGTATCTGACCTGTTTGATAGTGTTCATGGTCGTCCTTTTATGTTGTGTCTGACCTGTTCGTTAAAGTCAGTGGTTGTCTGACCTGTTCGGTAGTGTTCGTGGTTGTCCTTTTATGTTGTGTCCCTACTGTTCGTTACAGTCAGTGGTTGTCTATTTTTTGTTGAGTCTGATCTGTTTGGTAGTGTTCGTGGTTGTCCTGTTTTGTTGTGTCTGACCTGTTTGGTAGTGTTCATTGTTGTCCTATTATGTTGAGTCTGACCTGTTCGTTATAGTCAGTGGCTGTCTATTTTGTGTTTTATCTGACCTGTTTGGTAGTGTTCGTGGTTGTCCTGTTTTGTTGTGTCTGACCTGTTTGGTAGTGTTCATTGTTGTCCTATTATGTTGTGTCTGACCTGTTCGTTATAGTCAGTGGTTGTCTATTTTGTGTTTTATCTGACCTGTTTGGTAGTGTTCGTGGTTGTCCTGTTTC